TAGAGGATCGCAATCTTTTGTGGTATTTGTAAGCATAATCGCTATGATCATCCTTGTCTTCTTCCTCTTCTTCGTCATCATTTTTATTAAGACATACTTCCTTGTGTGACTGCAGAATTTGGTAGTCTTGAAATCGTTCGTTGCAATCGGCACATTTGTACTTCGTTCTCGGGTTATCTATAATATTTACATGGTTCAAGGAGACCTGTTGTTTTTTCCTCTTCGTTTTCACTAACGAATACTTCTTACTGTCGATGTTCTCGATATCACCTAATAATACAACACACTTTCTTAAGCCGTATATACTTTCATATTTCTTATACAAGTCCAAAGTTGGATCCGGCAACCTGAAAAATATCGTGCATTAATAAAAACTATCAGTTTTCATGCATTCTTTTGTTTTAATTAAGTAGAAGAGAACAGAAAGATAGAGAGAGAACTAAATCAAAAATATAAATATTAGGGACGAAAACTACTATCACGTAATGTAATAAATGCGTAAACATTTTATTCAAGTTACTATATGTCTTTTCTTGTGCACTGTTAAGGCAGATTTCGTTGCAAAGCTTTTGTTACAAACGTTACAGGTAAACGGTCTGATGGAGGTGTGGAAACGGCGAGTGTGAACCACGAGGGACGATCTTTGGGTAAAATTGCTGTGGCATATAGTGCAACTGTACGGCTTCGACTTTCCGTGGGTCCTCTCGTGGATGGTGCAAAGTTGTTTCTTGTTGAATCGTTTGCCGCACACCGGACAAGTGTATGGTTTTGAACCTGAATGCACCATCAGGTGATGCTTCAGGCTATCCGCAGAGGCCACGGTTTTACCGCAAACATCGCACACGAACTTGTTATTCCCGCTGTGTATCTTCATGTGATGAACCAGCGTCTTCTTGTGGACAAACACCTTGTTACAGATCTCGCATTTGAACTTCTCGCAGTCGAGGATTTGGCGATGATGCATCTTCTCGTGCGCGATCTGCGAGTACTTGCTCGTGAATTTCTTTCCGCACACCTTGCATATGAACCTCATCCCGTTATGCACGACCTCTTCGTGCCTCCTCAGTACGTCCCTCCGAAACGTTCCGAAATCGCATTTGTCACAGTTATACGTGTACTCTTTAAAATGCCTCCGCATGTGGATCCTTAACATACACGGAACAGAAAACACTTTCGCACAAACATCGCACACATTCTCACCACAACTGCAATCAAAAAAAAAGGTGTACTAATAAATATATGTCATACAGCCATGTACGTGTGTAGTTTAATTTTTTTATTAAACAATGATTGTATTTTATATATATATACATAACATTCATAAAAATTATGTAATTCAGATAGTTACAAAATTTTAGCAAACGCGACGGGAAACGCATTACATAATAATTAATAATTATATATTCTTAACCATGTAAGAAAAGGTAAACAATAACTGCGTCAACTTTCTACCGGGTGCATTGACGGTATTACTTGTATAGTATATACACATAAAATTACTAAAAAAAAAACAACAAAATATTGATTCTTTTAAATAATCAATTTGGGGAAGATACATGAAAATCAATAGATGCCGTGCGTAGCTAAATGCCGTTTGAAATAGTACTCATCGGCGAAGGATCGACCGCACTCGTTGCACTTATGTCTGATCCCCATGTGCCGGTTTTTGTAATGGTTTCGGTACTCTCGCACCGTATAGAAACCCTTGTTGCATTCCTCGCAACGATGCCTGAACTGATCCAGATGCCTGAGCATGTGCTCCTTCACGTTCTTCTCGTACATAAACGTTCTGAAGCAGAAGTTGCAGATTGCTCGCTCATTGTGTGTGCTCACGTAGTGCTGATAGAAGTCGCTGTTCTTTTCGAACGTGTCAGAGCACACGTCGCAACTGTTCACGTAACATTTACCTTTTTCTATATGCCTGAAAAAGACGAACTTGTTGATGAACAATTGTTCGCAACGCAAACACTTGTAATGCGGTACGTCGACTTCGTCGTTTGGACTAAGGAGCTGATAATTAGTTGCGGAAAAGTCAGGTACTTCGTGTCTCCGTTTGGGCGCCGGAGGCATTCGCAGGATGGTCGGCTTGTGTTTACTGGTGGATGGTTCCATCTTCACAAGCACCTCCGTAGCTCTGGCATCCTCGTCATCGTACATCACATCCTTCTCTTCTTTCTTCTTGTACTTTCGCTTTGATTGCAACTGACCTTTGAACACGCTCGGGATGATGTAACCGTGATCAACTTGCACAATCGTGTAGTTGTCCCGAGTTGGATTCATCTTGATCTGATCTGCCTCCTCGATGATGACCTCGTTAACGCAAGTAGAATCATCTATAATGTAGAGCAATTCGTTGCCATCGTCCATACCGTCTGCTCCAGGGATGTTCATGACCGCCTCCATATTTTCCGAAGAATACTCCTCCTCCTCCTCCTCGGGCATTACAGTTTCCTCTTTGATCTCCTCCTCCCTTAACATCTCTGCCTCCGTCGAATATATAACCTCTCCTTCCAGCTCCTCCTCCTCGTCTCTGTGCTCATTGTAGTGCTGGTACAATTCCGTGCTATTCTTAAAGGCCTCGTTACATCTGCAGCAACTGAACGTTGATCCGAATTGCGACATGTGGTGTTCTAAATATTGCTTCCGGTCCGGAAACAATTGAGAACACACCTCGCATTGGTAGCTCGCTATTAGAGAAGAACCGTGCTCTGTTTTAATGATGACTTCCTCATATCTGAAAACACAAAAGCCATAAAGACCCCCAAGAACATCGCCTAGAAGAAAAAAAAACAACTAAAAAATGCGCATACATTTCACGACATTCACGACGGGATAGTAGTACATATATATAATTACTTATGTATATTTATACTGAGTGAGTGTGTGTGTGTCTTTGAAACAAACGATAATTTAATTGTTCGTATAATATATTTTAAATTGCACTCACACAAATGATAATACAACGATTAACATTAACTAAAACTTCAATCTTGCAGTACTCGAGGTATTTCACATATCTTAAAGAATACTAGCTACAGCACAAAAAAACAAACGTTTCTTTGCATATCATGTATGCTGTGCAACAGTATTCGACAAGAGAAAAAGCACACAAACAATAAATGAAATATGCTAAAAGATAATGTATGAAACAAAAAAAAAAGGAAAATACTTACACTATATAAAAATCACTGCATAATTTCCAAATTTAAGAAAACACGAAACAGTTCAAAACATTTACATTACAATAGGCATCAAAATCCTATTCTCTATAATCCGAAATTTCCTTTCAGACAATCTGAAAGAAAATAAAAATATTACGTTTACATCCATTAAACGATATTCGCATTGTATATCCACGCCGACGCATTTGCACACTATTACAGTAGTCATCGCATTACGTTTGATCCTTCCATCGTATATCTTTCACTTCGTTTTTCGTAATACGAAAAATATTGTTTTCTTGCACTTATCACTGTTAGAAATGCATCTCATGCATGAAAGTCCTCTTCTTTTTCATACGTAAATCAAGTAAAATTTCTTAAAATTATTTATTCTGTAATGTAGATTGTCCCAACAATGTTGTGAAGCAACAAAATTAAAAGAAATTATCCAAACTTAAATAATAGCATGGAATAAAAGTAAACTTACCAGTACTCATATTCAGTGTTTGATCACAACAATAAGATGCAAAAATCGAATTAAATTATTATTAATTCAAATACTATAACTATATTACACTTTATGGCAGCAATTTATAAAAACCAATTACTAAAGCCAAATAATCAAAAGTTCCGCAAATACGAATGTCTAGTAAGAGTCGAATTATTTTTTTTAGTTATATATAAAATCGTCACAAATATTTAGCATTTTTCATTTAAAATTTGGAAATTAGGGAAGCACATTAAGAGACAGATAATTTAAAGTAAAACATTTCGACATTAATCTCTTAATGTACTTTCCAATTGGTGCAAAGATTGGATGTGATGCTTTTAACATTTGGCACCATGAATAATTTTGATGTTTGATTCTTGGGTACAAAATGTTAAAAACATTGAGATATGTGCAAATCACAAACATTCAAAGAGAATCCACTTACCTTGAATGAATAAAAAAAAATACAATAATCTGGAACTAATTTGTAATTCAAGTAATTGATAGATTTAGTCATGTTTGTGGTTTGAACCTCACATCCAATCTCTTAATATCTATGTGATGTATAGAAAAGTAACAAAATTACTCACGGTGTGTCAGGTTTTCCAATTCCTGAGGGACCAGCTTCTTCAACATCACGGTCACATGAAATTGAGAATTTGGAATCTTCAAATGTCATCACATTAGGGTCATTAACATCATCATCGTCTTCATCATCATCATCATCATCACTGGCATCAGTCTATAATAGATTTTAGAATACTGATCAGTAAGCAATTGTATTCAGTCAATGTCTTCTATCACAAACCTTAGTTGTGACCACAGTTTTACTCTTTTTATTAGATACATTCTTTGTGGCACGTTTACGTTTTTTCACTGCAGATTCCTCAACTAATTCACTTTCACTAGCACCAGAAGCAGGCTGAAACGAAATATGCATGATAAAACTAATTGGAGTTCACACGTATATGTGTAAAATGACATACTTGAGAATCATCAAAGTCATCCTGGAAGAACTCCACTGGTCCATATGGTAGCTGCTGCTGCTGCAATATGTAACTCTGCGTTTCTGTTGAAATTGAATCTGCCTGTGCTTCATCAACTATGTCTTTTGATGCCTCTGGTTGGCTGTCAACATTATCTGCATCATCAAATCCAACTTTGTTAAACCATTGCAGTAACTGTTTCTCTGCATTTGTTGTAGAATTGCAGAATTGGTAGAACAGGTCCAGCTTGTAAGAGCAGCCACCACATATTTTCTTGGGTAATTTATCATCTTTATTTATCTAGTTAACATATAACAACATATCATTAATTTCAAATCTATAATTTTACCAAATTAATTAATAACCTCAATTTCGTACTTGAATTTATAAGAATGATGTGAAGACTAGTTTATTGATTTTTACACAATGATCTTTGAGGGATGTCATCGATATTTGTGGCAACAGTAATATTTGCATCTAACTAATCAAGTTCGGGGTTCATGTATAAGTTCATTTGAATGTTGTATGATAAGGATTTAAAAGTAACAATCATAGGATCATCATAGCCTATACAAACAATTTGTTTACAAACACTAGCGTTTAATGGACAGACAGTTATTTGACAGCAAATAACAAGTATAATAGATTATGCAGTAGGTCTGACGGTGATAGAATTGGGATGTTATGTGGAATTTTAGAGAGGAAAAAAATTACTGAAAGACTGGAGAAATACGTTACAATAATAATAATAATATGGCGCACGACGCTTTCTTACCTTGACCGGCAGACAAGTAACGATTTTCATGAAAATCTGGCTATCCTCGTCCTGATCCTCGAATATGGGCACATTTACTTGTTCTTTGACTAAGCACAGCCTACACAAATGCATCAATTCCACTGTGCTAGCCATTTTTGTAATCGTCTTTCGTTTCACACATCGGATCTTGTTATTTTATACACAAAACAGCCTTTTACCACTGCAATCGATTGATGAAGAAGACGACGGAAGTTACGTTTGGCATGAAGGAACGGTGGCGCACCCTACACGACTTCCTCCCAAAACTAGAGCAATTTAAATTTAGTTTCATTAAAAACATACTTAATTAGCAAATAATGAGTATTTTTATTATGAGTACTTGTGCATGGGAATAGTACAACCATAACAAGTTGCCAAAAATATATGTTTAATTCGATTCTAACAATTTAGTCAATGTTTTATTATATTTAAATATTCAAATTGTTTATAAATCAATAAAAGATAACTATTTTTATTAGTTTCTTACCTCCTAAAAAAATTATATATATTAATTAGCTAAATAACAATAAATAAATGTTAAATTACTTTTTTAATAACTTATGTTACCCAGCGAACTTTGTCAATGTTTGTGCCATCTGTTAAAGATATGCATAAGGTTATAGTTCAGGCATTTTAGCGCTGATCTAATTTATATTTAACAATTCTAATAATTAATTGGGCCGTGTTGCTATGGTCGTCTGTATCACGAAAATCTGATACGAAAGGTCGTTGGTTCGATTCCCAAAAACCAACTACTAAACCCGAAAGGGGTTGTTAATATAAATGTGGACTACTCATATTAGTTACTTGTTACTTGAATAGTTTAATAATTATTAATGATCTTGTTAATATTTCAATAATAATTGAAAATAATTTCAAATTTAAAAGAAATCAAATGTAATAATTGGTTTGCTAAAATTATTAAAGTATTTTAATAAACTGTAGTCATAGTCATAGTTGTTAAATATGTTCATATTTATTTAAGTAAAATAAAAAAAAACTGTTGCATAAGCGTAGCTAACAAAAGGAACAATTCTTTAGAAAAATATAACTATATATATTCTTATATATTATTAAGTAGGCTTATTTTCATGGCATTTGAGAATTGCCGACATTGATATATTACGTTTTTCAAAGACCTCTCCCACAGACTTGAGCATTCCAGATATCAGACTTATTTGATTATCCATAAGACTCTCGAATCGTTCGTTACTGACTTTCCCGTAGTTTCGAATTAATTTACATTCTTCGGTCGATTTATACCAGGGAAGGTTTTCAATTTTCGTGTCTACTTCGTCACTTGTAACACTCGTGAAATCCAAGGTCTTGTCAATTGAACAATTGTCGCTACTCGTCGGCGTATCTATAGTGTTTGGAGTAGTAATTGGTCTATCATTATTATCATTTTGCAGTGGAAGACTTTCCAATAAGGAATCCAACGCGTCAAAGTCAAATGTATCGCACTTGCTTCCTTCATTTAAGTCAAAGACTTCAGGAAAATCTTCTAGAAAAATATTATTATTGTTATTGCTATCATGGCTTTCCTTATTTGCAATTTCAATATTATTGTTGTTATTTGTAGGAAATAAACTGTATTGTGATATTAGATTGATTTTCTTGTTCTGAGAGTCCCTAGACCAACTTGAGTTTGGATATGATGATGATTCTGATACAGTTGCTGATATGTTGGGTCTGCTGATGCACCTGAACCTGGGCATTTTACCTTTTGGCACTATATCATTCAAATGCTGCATAAGCTTTTTCTCCTTCACGGCAGCTTCAAAATTGCAATGCAATCTCTCCACTTTGGTCATCTTATTCTTGGATCCTTTTGGTCTTCCCCTCTTGTTCTGTTTGGCAAATGCACCACATCCTGCACAGGTGATGATCTCCCTGCAGTTGCTGCATTTAAACCTTTTTGTTGGGGCCACAGTCTCCAGTTCACACTTTCTTTTCAGCAAGAGGTGATTTTCATTCTGATAAACACCCATAAAATCAACACCAGAAACAGCAATTTGACCATGCAGCAGCAGAGGCAGCACCCTATTTACATGCAAGGATATTACTTCTGGCTGTATGTTCTCATTGTCATTCATAACTTGCTCTTGCAGAGTGCTGCAATTAACTGGTATGTAAATGGGCAAGTTTTGGGTCTCCTGCAAGGTCTTTCTTGCCACCAGGAACTCCTTTGATTCAAAGGACTCTGTTGGATAAAACATTTTCAAAAACCCAATTACATCTTCTTAAATTTGAATTTGTAAGATCCACTACATTACAGCACACAAACAGCCTTCCTTCCATTCAATACAATGCAATTTAAAATGTTAAGCTAATTTTCTATGTTTTCTTCAGCCAAGTTAACCACTTTTACTTAGTAAAAATACTGTATGTTTACATGGAGATACCACAACAACATTCCAAAAAATTAAAATTCCTATCTAGAATAGTTCAAAAGAATTTATTATATTTAGTTAGTTAGCTAAAAAAAATGCACATGTGTATCTACATTAAAATCCTCCAGTCACTTCAATCGATGCACCATTCACATAGGAACTTTTCTCAGAAGCCAAGAATGCTATCGTTTGAGCAATTTCTGCAACAGAGCCATACGATTATCTCCTGACAAATGCTTATAATTTATTATTTACCTTCTGGTAAACCAAAACGTCCAGCTGATATGAAAGGTATTAGTTTCTGTTTAACTTTTTCAGGGACCATTTTAACCATTGGTGTATCTGTGAATCCAGGCAAGATGACATTGCATCTTATTCCAAACTTACCAAACTCTTTGCTTGCAGTTTTAGTCAGCAATTCAACACCAGCCTTGCTGGCACAGTAATTTGCCTGTCCAATATTTCCATGTTTCCCAACTATGCTTGCTATATTAATAAATGAAGCATTGTTAATTTTGTATTGGATTACAGCATTGGCAAAGGTCTGCATTACAAGGAAGGTTCCTTTCAGGTTGACTCGGATAACATCATCAAAGTCCTGCTCAGACATTTTGAGCAAGAAGTTGTCTCTGGTGATTCCAGCACAGTTCACCACAATCGAAGGTGGTTTACTGTACTGTTCCAGAATGAGTTTCAAGCCTTTTTTCACACTGCTTGATTCATCCACAGCCATGGTAAGGGCAAGGTTTTCATTATTATGTGATGACTTTAAACTTCCAATGGTGTCTTTAGCTCCAGATAGGTTGCAGTCTGCTGCTATAATTGCTGCACCCTCATCAGCTAGGATCCGACAAGTGGCCCTTCCGATGCCAGAGGCAGCTCCTATGGTATTCCATTAGATATGTACACTATGATAAATGATGTTTTCTGCACCTGTAACAAGAGCCAACTTTCCAAGTACCGACATGTTTTCGCTTTCTGAGACTAGTATAAAGTGTTAGTCCAAAGGGCATTTCTATGATGTATATTTGGTAGACTATATAATTTCTATGTTGAACTTGTGAATCTATTGGAACGCGCGTTAACGTTTCGTTTGAACCTAAGCGGGCGATAATGAAGTAAATATTAATAATTAATGTTTAATAGAGAGACAGGTAAATTGTCAATGTTTGTTTATTTTTGACAAAACGTAGAAGAACACATAAATGGGGACATTCCGCTGACTACATATCATAGGACTGGATGAATAGAACTTTATAGAGGAGGTTTATAAGCTTATAAACCGCACTTCAACGACTGTATTTTGCACGGGACAAATCAAAATCTACATGTATTTCATGAAAACCTTATGGATAGTAACCAAAATTTCATCGCATCGATGCCGGGGGAAATATTGACGAAGATCTTCTCTTTCTTGCCAAGAAGGGACAGATTCATCTGCATGTGCATGTGTTCCCAATGGAAGGAGGCAATGGACGTCCCATGCCTTTGGAAGCATATGTCCGTGCGACTGGACGTTGATTTCTTTGGTGCCTCATCGAACTTTAAGAATCGCAATCAAACTTTTAAACTCGTTCGTTAAATTCCAGAAGTGAGCACCATACAGTTAACTATCGAATTCTGCAAGTACATAAAGTCGCTTGAACTGAAATTCGAGTATCCCGAAGAACCGATACAATGGATCAACTACAAGATGATGGACATCACCAAGAGGACGTACAGGTTCCTCTCGATCTTCGTCAATAAAAACCTGCAGATCACGCGAATCTGCTTCAGCAATTTCTGCTACTTCTACAGATCCAAAAAGATCCTATACTACTTATCGATGTTTCTGAGGTACCTTTCCTGTTATAACGATAAATAAATTAAGAGTTAATGGAACATTTCAGGTCTCAATACAAAATTAAAGTGATTAGCTTCAACGGATCTTATTTTTCCAAGAAATCGCTGATTCGCATCTTGGCCAGCTCCATTACAGCGAACCAATGTTCCATCGAGTGTCTCGACATCCAGAACTCGTACTACGAGCACGAGTTCCATCTGCCTCATCTGGACATCCTCTCTAGCCAGCTCATGATAACGCTCACTAACTTAAGTAACTTGGTGATCTTGAAAATAGATTTGGAATCGTTGATCAACAACGGCATCTTGGACGGATTTATCAATGGGAATTGCGAAACACTCGAGTACCTGGACATAAGGATCGCAGAGCACGACGTCAACAATTTCACGAATTCGCTGATCTATCCGAACAGCACCTGGATCAAATTGCAGAGGAAATACGAGAACCTGAAGGTCTCCATGGTGTTTTGTAAGTGCACGCACGAACGTTCAATATTCATTAAATTTAGATAACATAATGTTCGAGACGGAGGGAATCGACAAGATACTTGCACGGTCCATACCGTTGCACTGCACCACCTGGGTCAGCGACTCCATTGTCCTGAAGAATTTCTACAGCAATTGCTTGAAAAAATATGCAGATTCCATAAGTAAATTTGCAATCGCAATCGTTTTGCGTATTTCACCTATCATGCTTTTACTTTAGAAATCATAAAGATAATCGCTCGATCCTGTCTGATCGACGAACTTCTGATATGCGCTCTGCAGAACTGTCCGCAATTGGAGGGTCTGGAATTCACCGGATTCATAAGCGACCTGAGTTACTTGCAGGACGCCTTCGAAGCTTCGCAATTCAATGGTCGGTTTTGTTTTTTCTTTCGCTTCTCCGAATTTTAGAAAATTTCAACTTTTGAGTTTTTCAGGGTTGAGGAAATTCGAGATATATGCAAACACAAATCAGAGCCACAACAGCCATTTCTTAATCACAGAAACTTTGTATCTCAACAACAACTCTCTCGATCCGATGCAGTACAAATTACAAAGTTATTAAATTGTAATGGTAATTATATAAAGAATTTAAAATCTGTATAATAGTTTTATTAATATTTACATTAATATAAAAGTCGAGAAGTAATAAAAGCGGCTTATGGTATGTTAAGCTTTTGGATACGTTATCCAATGGGAAGGCTATACGATTCAGCATACCAAATCTGGAGAGCACTACTTAATGCTTAAAGTTGTTGAATAGAAAGAGATGTGCGTTCGGATAGTTTTGTTGGATCGAATTTGTTTATATCTGTTTAATTTGAGATCGAACGATCGACGGTGCTCCCTTTCGTGTGCATGTTTTATTTTTCTTGTGTGTGCATGTGTGTGTGTGTGTGTGTGTGTTCTTCGGTTATTTATAATGTATAACTGGCTGGGGGATCTCGCCGTATTCGAACAGGCCGTGAGTTAGTGAGTGAGTAGCCTCTCCCTACTCTCTATTTCAGGCGCGAGAGTCGAATTTTTATTTTTAAATAGGATCGGCCCACAGAGAAAAGCACTTACGGCCATAAAAGGGAATGCTCTTTGGGAATTTTCGAATCTATTTATAAACGGTCACGCCGTTTTGGCAACGGCTCCGAGTAACCGATATCTCACCATCATCATTGAACGATCGAATCGGATCGATCGATCAGATGGAATCCGATAGGATTGCAGAATGCTAATTCTGTTTGGATTAGACACAAGAAAACACCACGGATTTTTGTATAAATAATTCATAAAATTTCTTAACTTTTATTAATATTACTTGGATTTAATAATAAATAGTAGTACATAGTTTTTAAGTATCCGCAAAAGTTGTTTTTTTACGGAGAGAGTCTTTCTGGCAGTGCAACCATTCCGTTTGGCGCAACTAGTTTTTTTTTTGTTTGCTTTAGAATACATCTATACATAAATATATATATATAGTAGGAAAATAAATAAAAAGGGGGTTGGTTTGATTTTATTGTGTCGGTGGTTTGGTGATTTAGAAGCATTTGCGGTGGACGATGCCTGGGCCGGATTCGTCGTACTCTTGCTTGGAGATCCACATCTGTTGGAAGGTGGAGAGGGAGGCCAAGATGGAGCCACCGATCCAGACGGAGTATTTCCTTTCTGGGGGAGCGATGATCTTGATCTTGATGGTGGATGGAGCCAAAGCGGTGATTTCCTTTTGCATGCGGTCAGCAATACCTGTAATCATTCAATTGAGAGGAAGTTAGAGTTTATGTTTCTTGTATATTGGTAGTCTTTTGGTTGATGTTGTTGTTTACCTGGGTACATGGTGGTACCGCCGGAGAGGACGGTGTTGGCGTACAAGTCCTTACGGATATCAACGTCGCACTTCATGATGGAGTTGTAGACGGTCTCGTGGATGCCGCAGGATTCCATTCCCAAGAAGGAGGGTTGGAAGAGGGCTTCTGGGCAACGGAAACGTTCGTTTCCGATGGTGATGACTGTCCGTCGGGAAGTTCGTAGCTCTTCTCCAGGGAGGTGGAGGCAGCGGCGGTGGCCATTTCTTGCTCGAAGTCGAGGGCGACATAGCAGAGCTTCTCCTTGATGTCACGAACGATTTCACGCTCAGCGGTGGTGGTGAAAGAGTAGCCACGCTCGGTGAGGATCTTCATGAGGTAATCGGTCAAGTCACGACCGGCCAAGTCCAAACGGAGGATGGCATGGGGAAGGGCGTAACCTTCGTAGATTGGGACGGTGTGAGAGACACCATCTCCAGAGTCCAAGACGATACCGGTGGTACGACCGGAAGCGTACAAGGAGAGGACGGCCTGGATGGCGACGTACATGGCCGGGGTGTTGAAGGTCTCGAACATGATTTGGGTCATCTTTTCACGGTTGGCCTTTGGGTTGAGTGGGGCTTCGGTGAGGAGGATGGGGTGCTCCTCTGGGGCGACACGCAGCTCGTTGTAGAAAGTGTGATGCCAGATCTTCTCCATATCATCCCAGTTGGTGATGATGCCGTGCTCAATTGGGTACTTCAAGGTGAGGATACCCCTCTTGCTTTGGGCCTCATCACCAACATAGGAGTCCTTCTGTCCCATACCGACCATCACACCTTGATGCCTTGGGCGACCAACGATGGACGGGAAGACGGCACGTGGGGCATCGTCTCCAGCGAATCCAGCTTTGCACATGCCGGAGCCGTTGTCAACGACCAACGCCGCAACATCATCGTCACACATGTTTGCTGTGTTTGTTTTGTGTTACTGCTGCAGAAAGAAAGAAATTAATGTATATTGCAAATGATGACGATCATGATGGCACAGAAAGAGAGATTGTAATTCACGGTCTGAATAGTAGCGGCGCGCGTTCATTCCTTCTCGTCTCAACTCTCATCTCCAACTCTCTCTCTCTCTCTATATATATATTAAAAATAGCGACCTTTGCTATGTGCCAAAATTTACGTAACGTAAATATTTACAAAATACTATGACCGAAATTCCCTCAACTTGATCTCATTAAAAACGCGCGACTCTCTTGCATCGAAAGGTCATCATCTCCACTACTGTACGAAGAAGACGATTCCCGATTCCAAAAATGCATCTTTTCCCCCCCCCCAATTATTATTGCACTAAATTCGCGTCACTAAATCCCAAAAAAAGTATTCTGCACGATCGTTAAATTTGCTGCTATTGTTGTCGCGATTTTTTGTCTCGTTTACTTGTGTAATCTCTATTGCTGTTTGTTTTTTGATTGTTATAAACACCGAACAAATACACTACCTCGTTCGACAGAAAGGACTCAGCTGCTGAGCTTGTAGGCTGCGAGTGGTGCAGAAATTGTAAGAGAGAGGTTTTATACCGGCCTCTCCACCAGCTATGAATAGTACTTGTGGCCCATGTATGGTTCGGTAGCGCCGCGACGCAGACGCGCGGCGTCGTCCAAATAAGGTATGCCTCGACTGTGGGAGGTGCAAACTTCATCCCGCGTGCATTCGCGCAAACATCACCCTTTTTTGGTCATCTACAATCACTCCAATCAATCAATTATACAAATAAAATTAAAGATTTTTTATAATAAGCAAAGACTTGCATCCAACTACATTCCGGGAAATCCCTTTTTCATTCGAAAACCCACGCAAGCTTAGACTCATAAGACTGTTTACTTTTACGTTCATATGATTTGCCAAGAATTAGCTTGGAAAACGTTTGAAAAACACGTTTTTTGGAAAGCGAAAGTCCGACCATCCATCCGGCCATCCCATCGCGTTTCGCAACGCGTCGCATTTTCAGAGTGCATTTCCCATTCATGTTCCAAAAATACGTTCAAGAACATTTCTACTACAATTCGCGAACCTCATGCAACTATCCACTCCACATGCATCATTTCACATCAAATTTGGCAATCATCACAATTTTCATCTTTCCATTTACAGTTATTTCTGTACATAATAACAACTTTACCTATTCTTTATTATTAGACCGCTGATACACATCGCCGTTACTTCACATATACACAAACGTGACTATACTAATTGTAATATTTCACTCAAGTTTTACAAATTGTTGGCTACGATGCAAATAGTTCAAATTGTAATTTTTTGCAATGCTAATTTCACTAAAGTTAAACGATATATAAGGAATCAAAAAGTCGATTATCTCTACACAGATTTATTTAATAGTTATTACTTTGTAATCAATTGGAAGTCAAACCGTTCATATTTAAATTTTCTCTAGATTTATTCCAAAATTATAATATGAAAAGCATTAGAAATTTTTATTAAAATCTATTAATATCTAATTAAATTAAACTTATTTGGAAGAATTACTAAATTTGAAATACGGTAATTTGTCGACAAACAATTTTCGTCGATAAATTTTCTCGTGTCGAGAAGTGAATGTAATAAAATACGAAATAAATCTACTTTGTGATATAATGATAATCAATCAATCATCACAGAAATTATCTATGTGATAATTAATGAAAAGAAAGCAATATTTCAATTAGAAAATCATCATTAAATGATGTCAAATTGTTATACAAAAGTATGTACAAATTTACTCAGATAATGGTGACATCGCCAACTTCGTAGAGAAGAGTCACAGATGGTTAAGTCCTTGTATAAATACTATATAATAAGTCCTTTAATCTAAATTTACATATAGATAGGTAATTCATAAAAAGAAGGTATTATAAAATAATCTTTATTCATAAGAAACTATTATAATTAGTACAAATATTCAGCTAAATTGACCTTAATTATTATTACTATTTAAGATTTGACATAGAATTTAATAGAATTGAAGTAATTGTATAGGAATTCGATGTATTGACGAGTTGAACTATTTTGAACATGTGATTCATCTACCTATGATTTGATCGTGTTTCAGATTTAGAGCAGACGAGACGGACGTCAGGTAATGAAATGCCTTAATTAGGATGTTTGTCCGTAGATGGTCGAAATTGAATGGGCGAAGAGATAAACAGTGCATCTATGGGAATTGGCGAAACCCGGGCACGTTTCCAAGATTCGATGCTTCGAGTTAGACGAGAGTTTTCCCCAAAAACGCGTTCGTGTCCGCCCGAACGTTATTTATATACAAGAAAACAGTTTTTCGGGATTTTTCGTGTTTCCACTGGCCTATATAAAAATAGCGCTCCAGAAATCCATGTCAGTTTCAGAGACTGGTGGTGTTCAACCAACATTAGGTGAAGTACGTATTACAACAACTATTTTATTCTCTATTTAACTTTAAAATTTAAATCGTTTCATTTTATTCTGTCTGCCCGGACTCTGAATTATTTTTTTTCTTTTTAATACCGTTATCTCGATTCGATTTCCCGGATTCGACTTGCATTATTTCGCGAGATCTCATTAAATTCGTAAGATTATACTCTTTTTTTTTTAATTTTAATTTCTCGTTCAATTCCGTTTCCTGGATTTTACTTCTCTTTTACTTCTCTTAATTCAGTTTGGTTTTGGGATAATTAGTGAGTGCGAGCCTCCGCGTCCAGCGACCTTATTAAATTTCGTAATTAGCGTACAACGATTTTCTTTTCCGCACGCTCAGTTAACTTCCATATCATTTATAATTGTATTAAATTATCAATCCGAACGCTTATTAGTGCATACAGTATTTAAATTTCTCAAAAAGTTTTCAGAGACGAAGAAAAGAGCGCGCGCGCGTTCGTTTGCGTTTGGGCGTAATTCGCGCATTTGAGTGTAAAAAGAGCGTTAATTAAACGTCGAGCCAATTAAATCGGAAATCGGATTTGTTGTTTTTTTTTTTTAATTCTTCTTTTCTGCACTCTTCTCTTTCTCTTCTCCGTTGTTTCGTTAATTAAGTAAAGTTTTTGCCCGAGCATATCACCACTATTTTCGTCTCTAGTCCAGTAAATTTCTGTGCGTGCTGGAGGTATTTTAGTGGCGGAGGTCTCTTGGAGAGTTCAGTTTACCTCCTGCTTCGAAACGTGCAGCACAGCACAGAAAACCCAAAAAAAAAAATATCGTCATTCGAAATTCGAAGTTCGGTGAGTTGCGATCGTTGAATTCATTATTTTAAACTCAAATACATTTCAAATTAGTTAGATTTTATTTTTTATTCGCGTCTGCGGAAAGTGAGTAATCCGTTACGATCGGTTCTTGTTCATTTCGCGTCGGAAGCGTCGTCATATTTTTAGATTTAATACTTAAGAAAATCTGGAGGAGTCTTCGGTTCTATTTTTAGAGAGGCAGGCGCTGAGGCGATGGAGCGCGTCTATTTTTGATACACGCCCGTGGTTCGCGTTAAACCTAACATTATAAGTATATATACGTGTAGTATAGTATACGCGTATATACATAGATATTAATATGGAATCGGATTGTTTGTAAATTCAATGTAAATATTTAAAAGTCGTAATTGGATATTGGAACACGATGATGACGCAACAGCTACTCAACTTCTGGCCGGGGGGTGGGCGGTTTCTGGGGGTTTCTAAAAATAGTTCGTTCCAAATGCAATCGCGAAATATCCTGGGATCGTATAACAATCTCCAAATATTTCCACTCCAGCGGAAGAGTTGCGTAACGCTCGTGAAGCGCTCCCGACTCGATTCATTTTCAAAGCGTCTGAGCGTGATCTTTCGTTAAATAATTTCTTTCTTTCATTCGATTTAAACGATTCATTGTGAATATTGTTGGTATCCTCGATTGTGGCTCTGCAATTGTTATTAATTAATTTTGTTCGTTTCAGATCTAACTACTAAGTTTACCAAAACTCATTCAAGATGTGTGACGATGATGTTGCTGCTTTGGTCGTTGACAACGGCTCCGGTATGTGCAAGGCCGGTTTCGCTGGAGACGATGCCCCACGTGCCGTCTTCCCGTCCATCGTTGGTCGCCCAAGGCATCAAGGTGTGATGGTCGGTATGGGACAAAAGGACTCGTACGTCGGCGATGAAGCCCAAAGCAAGAGGGGTATCCTCACCTTGAAATACCCAATTGAGCACGGCATCATCACCAACTGGGACGATATGGAGAAGATCTGGCATCACACTTTCTACAACGAATTGCGTGTCGCCCCAGAAGAACACCCAGTCCTCCTCACTGAAGCTCCACTCAACCCAAAGGCCA